AACAATGCCGCCCTTTTGCCGACAACGACAAAGGACCGACAAGCCTCACTCAACTGTTGCTCACTTATTCGAAATGTTCTGAAATTATAAAAATGTTTTTAAACTTGCGCATGAATTTCGCTAGTAGTGTATGTTTTAAAATCAATACATGTAGAGTGAAATTACACTTTCATTTAGTGCGGGTTGTTTCATTCTGTTTTTTTGTTTCGTATCGGGTGAGACTTGAACGACTTGGTACTCTTTCACAATTGAGCTAACCCTTGGGTGATTGGATAACATAATAATAATAACCTCGAAAATCTCCCACTCGGCCGTCTGAGACAATACCTTTACTGGGGTAACAGAAATGCTGATAAACATATTTAAATATTTCCAACTTCATACATATTATAGATAAATAACACCCAGACACAGAACAAATAATCGTTGTTTTCATGCAACTATTTTCTCTGGGTGGTAATCGAATCCACGACCTCTGGATTAGCAGTCTGAATCACTAACCACTAGGCCAACAGGTTGGTCAGAATGAAAGTAGGTATGTCTTTTTAAGCCCTACAGTTATTCCTAATTCTTCTTTAGTCCTCCTTAGGACTAAAAATAAAAAATAGTCGTTTTATCCTTATAAAACGTCTATTTTTTAATGTAATATAATACTTTAATGTAATGCCAATCACGTGATTGCGTTAAGGGCCGTACAAATACATAATCACATCACGGCAACGCTAAAGTTAAAAAGTCACAAACGATCACAGAAAGGAATGTCATGTAGAAGAAGCACAAAGCTTGAGTAAAATATGCTGAAAAGTAAAAGATAAATGTAAAAACGACTCGATAAAGAGCACGGTATCCATATATTTAAAAAATATGAAGGTATGTGAAACATAAATCAGATCTTTTCTCATATGATATTATTATCGAATAAGTAGATAATTTATAAAATTCGCATAAGTTACTTGTTCTCTGAGCAAAGCTTAATATAAAACCTTTTTATCGCTTGGTAAAATACTAATGGAATGACATTAATTAATTACCTCTTAATGACCCTCTTGGTTCCGAGGGTATAGTGATGTCATTGATTGAACTTATTATTTAAGAGTTACTAGAATATTGACAGTTTATTGTGTCAAGAATTTTTAGAAATTTCCCACAGACAACTTGAAAGTGCTTCGCCGACGATACAGCCATCAATTTCCGATCATCTTCCGTGTGATGGCTTCGTAGATAAATATGACGACAAATTAATAGATACTGGTTGCCCTGATTGGCTGCAGTAATGGCTGCGATCTGAGATACCTCGTGTTCAAGATATTGATGGATATTATCAGTCCAAGGCATCAGACTTGGTTAAGAAGTTTCTCTGTTGAGTACACTTAATTTTTTTTATTGATTTATTAGATGATTTTTCGTTGATGAAATGTGACTAGACATTTTAGTAAATAACTTAGCGATAATTTTCTTTAGTGGCCAATTTTTTTTTATCTTTTTCACAGCTTTGACGATTTATCTATACTTATTAATAATCTGAAGTCACGGTAATATAGTACCTCATATATAATTCAATCAAGGACGAATTTACATAGGACACATAGACCTTCAAAGTGCAAGGAATTTCATTTTATATTGCCACTAATAGCGAATATTTTATCCGGCAAAGTCGCCGTCTTTATTAAGATTAGTTACCGAGACTAGATAATACTTACTTACCATCCGCGGAAATTGCACAGAGGATTATGTAGCCTGGAAAAATTTCTTGCTTTTACTATATTGTCTCTTGCATTTTAATAAGAATATGTTATTTTTATTTCCATGCAATACTAAAATAGCAATAACTTGCTTCGGTACTATAAAGTTTTGTATACTCGTACTTTATGTTGTCCAATAAACCCGCAAGTAGCTCTAGGTTTTTATTTGCTTTGTTGAAAATACATTTTGGAAAAGAACTTTGTTATGATGGAGTGGAGTACGAAACAGTTGTTTTTAATTAATTTTATAGAATGATTTTTTTAAATATGGGATACTTTTTACACAATATCAATAATATTTCGTACTTTGGATTGTAAAACACTTACATTTAGAAAATAAGTCGTTTTCTTTTTAATTTATAGATGGCGTTATTAGCATTTGTAAATCACGCTATAGTTTGACAATGGAAAATTGTATAAGTAGTGGAATCTTTTTATGAAAATATAAGTTTGATACGTAATTGAGTGTTCTATTCCTCATCTACAGATCTCGGACTCGTTTCAGTTTGTTAGTCTGATTTATCGCTACAAAATCGGCAGAGGAATTATTTTTCTCTACTCTTGAAGCAATAATGTTTTTGAAATGTAGAAATAGAGGCTTATTCAGAGATTGCGACATGTCCATCGAGTTGTAACGCCCATCTTATAATTTTTGTAGATCCTATTTATAAATTTTATATTTACTTAAATCGCTAAAGTTTAAGAAAAATCGCGAAAGTGTAAAAAAAGATACCAACTTTAGAAAAAAATGGATTTTTTTGCAAAGTTACAAATACATTTTCCATTGTAACTTTTCGTGCATATTCTAGCAGCGTCTTTTCAATTCGCAGATGACTGACGTAGCGTTTCTAAATTCAATTGAGCCGAATGCATTCCAGAATGTTCTGTTAGAGGAAGAAAAGTGTAGATCAGAAAGTGTTGCATATTTCATGACGTGGTACCGTTGGGCGTATATCTGGCGAAATTGGATCAAGGCTATTGTAGACTACATTTTTGAAATGAAAGAATGAAAGAAAGATATAGTTGACAAAGACACAACATGTCAGTTCATAATCTAATCCTTACAACCGGTACATTGCGGCTTCATTCTGAGCTAGATCTACTCCGAAGGCAACGAATTTTGGATTATTCATACAATCAAATAAGTGCGTGATGTGATAAAAGCGTAATAAAATCAGACATCAAACCGTATTCCAGCATCCTTGCCTTTGCCTTTTCTTGCCCTTTCCTGTACTCACAGACTTTTTCTACTGTTATCACTGTAATCTACTTTTAATAAAATAGTTTTAGGGTATTGCTCTTTTTAAATTATTTTAATAATTTCTTTATGTAGTAAAACTCGTGATTTATAATTGACTGCTTTTACTGAGAGATATGTCGATGCTTATTTCATCTTTTTAATATGCAAGCAATAGCTCTGTTGGCTTCACTAATATGTTTGCAGAAATATAGTTTCAGGAACATTTCCTTTTTCTGGATGAATGGAGCGCTATTTTTTTATTGTGTTTTTTTTTCTTTTTTTATGTTTTAATTCACTTTCTCTTTTATTTGATCTTTTTTCCTAATCTTATTTTCTCTTTAATGTGTTTTACCTTTTAATCCTTAATAAGGTATATACTGGCATACATCGGTACAATGTTGTTTTATATTTCATGATGCCATTGTATTTATCTGTGAATTACAAAAGAGTGGCACTGAGTTTGTTTGCCCTTTCTTTTCATAAGGCTCAACACGATAGAAAAGGGCGGTTGTGCATTTTTTTTTCTTTACTATGACAAAACAGAGATTTTGCTATTGTGTGTTTGTTGATCTATGCCTTTGGAGTCTACATTAAAGACGGTTTCAAAGTTTTTTTTATGAAATAAATATATTTTGAATTTGAATTTTTTCATGTTTATCGGATGAACGGTGCCCCAGTGTATAAAATGCGATCATACGAGCATTGATTTATATACATATATAGTTAGTAAGTTTTTGTGTATATATACCTATATATTGTTATACCTTTTAAACCTCAAAAAAACCATTTGATTGTAAGAGCGGACACCACCATTGTGTATGTAGAACACTTATATTTTATGGTTTAATTTTCTTGCCACTTATATAAACAAAGCAAGAATATAAAGCTGAGTTATCAATTATGTTTGAAGGTTCGTTGTGCCTATTTCGTTAAGAGAATCCTTCATGTTGAAAATTGTAAGCTTATTGGGTTGTAAATGGAGAACACAAAAAAGCAAAATCAGGTCAGGTGATACAAAGAGACTCAATATAATCATGTTTTCCATAAACTTTATTAATAAACTATTTAGGAGCGTAAAGTTTTCCAATAGCAAAGATATTATCAAATACCTTATGTACGCTTGGGTGTAAACATTTAATATAACGCTCCATGGCGTACCTGTTGTTAGGTACCAAGCAAAAACTCTCGAATCTTCGTTTTATAAACTTACTCAACTGTATTGAAGACCAGAGCTACACGAGAGCGGTGCTGGTATAAAACGAAGCACAGATCGGCATTCCAATTATTTCAATCGACAAAAAAGAGAAGCAATACTCTGATATGGAATACGAATGAAACTATTCAAAAATGAGAATAAATTTAAACGAATAAGCGATATTGTTAGCGTGCGATCTTATTACGGATTATTCTGCATTGCTATGTTTGAATCAGTAAAACACCACATAGACATTGAAAACTTTCGACATGCTGTACCTCCTAAATATATATCAGGAGACAGGTTATTTGCCTAATTAAACAGGAATGTAGAACGTGAGGGCAACTAGATTTATTTATCCCCACGCCACCGTCTACATGAACGTGAGATAAGAAAAGGACGTCTCAAAGGTTCTGGATCAAAGGGACTTTAAATGTTTGGCCAAACTTTGTTTGTTTATTTAGGCCACACTTTTTCTACTTTGGGTTGTCTCTTGTCGATTTGTTTTTAATACTATTACAGAGTTTCTGGATGTTTATGTCGCGCGGCACAATTAAACGGAAACTTTTATTAAAAGACTTTTTAGCGACTTCTGAATAATGAAAGTTTTCAATTTGGTTGGGGTTTGTGTGATTATTACGCGTTATCTCCGCAGTTTATAAAAACTTTATGTAATATTTCACTACTGTGAAAGTACAAATCTGTATTATCTAAAGATAAACACTATACTAAGGAAATGAAAACTTCTGAATGAAAGCAAAATTTACATTTTTGTAACTGCTATTTATTAATTAATTGCCAGATTATCTTAACACACATAAAGTTACATCCTCATCATGTTGTCTGCACTCGTCATCATCAAGTCTCTATAAGACCATCTCACTAGCTTATCACGGTGCAGGTACGTGAGGTCGTCCTGCTTCAGCACCATGTCTGACAAGTCGATGTCCTTGCTTATGTTGGCCATGTCCATATCTTTCCTGTAAATCGTAATGTCATGGAATTTCATATTCTTAGTGAAGAAGTAGGAAGTGTCAATTCTTCTATCGAAGGGGAAGCCGAGCGGCATTGTGTCGAAGCAAACGCTGAAGCGACACATTTTGCGATCTCTCATAATACTCATGTCGATGGTCGGTAGGAGCATGCCGGTCTTTACTGGGGTGACGATGGCGTACATCTGCATAGGCATACCACCAATGCGACCAAGGGGCAGGAGAAGCCTGTGTGGGAATCCAATGCGGGTCTTGTACCACCAACTTTCGACATCAACGTTCTTTAATGTGGTTTCACTCATTCCCAAGGTTTGGTCAAGGATGCGGCGGGTCCAAGGTCTCTGCTCGATGATACCGTGCATTTCCAAAGAGTTACGCACAATAGTGTTCTTGCCCGTCTCTAGTTTGTACGTGAAGGTATCAATCTCTACCATGTCGTGGCGTTTGTCGTTGACGGACATAAGGCGGCCCATGCAGTCGTACTTTGGACCGATGAAAATGCGTACAACAGAGTCCACTGATTTGTCGGACGTAACATCGATAGCCACCTTGAAGGGATGGTGGTTTAGGCGACGAGTGCGGGCCACGAATGTCATGTCGGAGCGCTTCTTCTTCATCTCAGTCTCATCAAGGTATACAGCATTAGTGATGTCCATGTCGTATTCATCCATGAAAGTGACAAGTTTGTCGGTAGAGATCTTGTCGATTTTGACACCAGGGAAGTCAAGTTCATCACGAGTATACATAGGAAGCATTTTCTTGAACATGTGGATGGTATCGGTAACGCGCTTCATCAGCTGCCAGAAGACAGGGTCACGCAGGCAAGTGGTGTACATGTCCAGAGCAGTGGGTATGTAGGTGTACCTATAAAATACAAATTACGTGTTCATAAGAAAGTTTAATGGAAAGAATGAGGCGATAATATAAAATAGAGAAAACGAAAAATATTGGTATTCATACTTATCAGTGTTGTATACATTGTAAGTTAGCATCTTCCTCATCAAATTCATCATATGGAGAGTCTTGGCATCATCATTAAGCAAACGCATACCACCAAGCAGCAGTCTAGCCAGGTTTTCAACATCTTCAGGTTTTCTTAGGCTGATTACAGTACCGTCACGCTGTTAAAAAAAAAAATCTTTTAAATTTGTGCCACTAAAAGCTATACTAATTTAACATCTAATAACGAACACTTACACGTTCTATCTTGCCGGTCATGATGCCGTCACGGAGCATTCTCTCAACGTCATCCAACATACGCTTAACCTTAACGTTCTTGTCGGTGAGCAGCACCATATTGTTGCTACGCACAGGCATGTGTTCTCCGTTGTGAAGAAGGATTTTTGGCCAATAGCCGGTCTTCAAAGGCTCATGCCACATTATGGTCTTTATGTCGCACATTTCATGAGTTAGACGTTCCAGTCTGTACCTGGCTAGCAGTTGCATATTTGCGTAAGATAAGATTTCACCACGACGCTCCTTGTTCAGATTGTAAAGATCGTCAGTCATCCAGAATGGATAGCTCATGTGCAGGTAGTACATGTATGTATTGAGGTCGACGTCCTCAGTGAAGTAACCGATACGATCGTTTTCAGACAGAGTGTGACGGACTCCTTTGCGCCAGTCAATAACAACCAAGTTCTTGTCGTTAACTTTGATACCGTAGTAGTCCATGATGACGGGATCGCTTGCGGCTCGGGTCATTTTCATCATGAGGGCCTTTTGAATTATATTGCTATCGACAAATAAGTAGGGGTAGATCTCATAGGGGGCAGGAAGCACGATTCCTCTGCAGTCGCTCCTGTGGAACACAGCCGCAGTAAGGGCATAAACGAACATGCCGCCGTTGATGCGCTCCCTTAGCCAACAGCAAGTCCTCATGAATACATCAAAGTCCTTGGCAAAGTAAAGAATCCTGAAGACCTTAATAGCCTGGTCAATGTGCAAATGATTGCTGTGGACGAACACCTCACCCCGCGGAAGCATACCCATCTTGAAGGTATCAATAAACTGCCTTACGACTTCAGTTTTCTGAAAACATTTAATAAAAATGAGATATAATATAATAAAATAAGTTTTCGTTTCATTTTTAGCTTCAACAATTCAAAAATTCGTCCTCACCAGATACTTGTCCTGGTTCTCTTCAATGATCCACTCCCTGGCAATCTCCCGAATATCGTCGTACATGGTTGGCTGCAAAATGTGGTTCAGTAACTTCATGATGCAGAGCTCCTTCGTCTTGATGTCCATGTTGACTATCCAAGAAATTAATATAACATGTATAAATTTAAGGTCTGCATCAGAGTCTGTCGTTTGCAAATTAAGGATATATACCTTCTAACCTACGCATGCCAAACATGGCCTCTCAAACAATCACAGCTAACCAAATAAGAACTTGCCAAAGAGGAATAGAGCGAAGTTACATGAATATCAAACTGAAAGACAAGAGTCAAAAGTTTATTAATAACGAAACAAACTAAAGCTAGTGATGCAGTTAAACAGGTTTTGACACTCAAATGGAAATGGTCCAGCCACATTCGAAGAGCAACTGACGGAAGATGGTCACAAACAACTACAAATTGGTACCCACAGCACAAGAAAAAAAGGGTAGACCATTTAAAAGATTTAGTGACGACATCGTACAAACTGTGGGCAACTTATGGCCCAGACTGAATCAAGATAGAGTCATATGGAAAAGTTTGGAAAAGGCTTAAACCGCAAAAGGCAATAGGCTTACACTTAACGTTACTAATATAAAACAAACCAACAAATTTAAGGAAAAAAAGACAAATTAAAGTATTATATACAAACTTATCTTATAGTAAGGCAAGACTTGCGATCAAGAGGTCGTAGGTTCGGATCCTGACCAGTAAACTACCGACGTGAACCCACTCCTAATACAAGCAATTTAGCTTAGCGGGACGGGTTAACGGGAATACTAGTAATTTCGGTTGCTAGTAGATATTTTAAAAAAAAAACTAAGATTAATAAATAAATTTAAAAAAATATGACGAAAACCGATAACAGTTATATTTCTTTATTTCTCTAAAAAAAATTATGATGATATACCTATTTAAAATTACAACTTGATTTCAATCAGACAGAAGGGGTCTCTGGGTAAGTAAAGATTGGGATTTTTTAAAAGTTAAATTCTTCAAAACAATTACTTACCCATGGATTCTCTGCCGATGACGGTACTAGCGTAGATGTCATCTTTGACGACGTTGGCCGAAGCCAGGACAAAGGCAGACACTAGCACTAGGACCTTCATGTTACTGCCCACCACACGACTGTGCCGCTGTCTCTGCACGGCCCACCTTTTATACGTCCACCAATACATTTGTCCCAACGTTATCGCCCTGCGCTATCGACATTGTTTTTAATAGTTGGATAACATACAATATTGCTATTTAATCTTACGGTCAGAGGGTTACGTGTTCTGAACTCATACATTTAATTAAACGCCTTCTTTATGGGTAAGGTATACCTACTTAAGGGGTTCTACATTTCACTAGACTTAGAGATATGTGGCTGTGTAAGTAAGTAATGTAATGTATTCGCGTAATTAGTTCTCTGAGCGAAAACCTGATGTTTTTGTTCTACAGAGTCTTAACTCTGTCCTCGTTTCTGCAAAATATGTACTGGTCTGTATTTCCATCTGGCTAATTTCGATGCAACACAATTAACAATACAAACCAACGTTAAAAGTTGACACAATTATTAAGAATTCTTATAAAAAAAAAACAATATTTAATTGTTCTTAAGGGTACATAACAGTAACAGTAATTAACAGTAAGGGTCATAGGATATTTTTCATCTAGATATAAAAATGTTTCCGAGGGAAAAAAAAGAGTACACGCAGCATACACTTAATTGAAAAGTCTGAAACTTTGAGCCTTTAAGCTGTATCTGAATTATTCATCCTAAGAAACCTGTTCTGTATTCTTCGTTCGGAGTAAAGCCACTTTAATACTGAGCTATCTTCGATCGCGCAAATACTCCGGTTTTACTTTTTATTTAAAACAGTAGGGAATTTGCATATTAAAACTAAGCCTCCTACACTAACGTATAAAAAGGTACAAATTTATCAGAGTTTTAAGCTATTCTGCTTTTTTTTTAAATACAAATAAAATTTATGGTCTAAAATGTTTTGGAAATGACGTCATATAGGGTTACTTAATAAAGTTTTTTTGGCTCGAATTGGAGGCAATCAGTCTATTTTATCAAAAACAGGAATATTGCCATTTAAAAATGGGTGAGTGCCTAAATTTCAGGGATAAAGGTAGGATAAAGGGATTTTATTGCAGCAGATATTGGCTTTATTTTACCGGGATTAACGATTATTACTTTTTCATTGTTGTGTTTTAGGTATTTCAAACTAATGAATCCACCAATCCATCCATTTTACTGTAACAAAGGTTTTACGTACCTGGTTATACCTAATCACATACACTTATATATATATATATATATATATATATATATATTATCTTCGTAATTCCTTTTGTTATTTAAAAAGAACGAATTAGTCTCCTCAGTTCAGACCTGATATTTTGAGTTTGAAGTCTAACCATATAACGCACTAGTTTCAGTACAACATATTTTCTAACATTTTGCGATTCTAAGATGATAGAATCTATAGATAATAAAAACAGATTGTTTTTCGAGAGTAAAAATAAAAGAAAGTATCGGATTGTCCTGTTTAAAAGACAATAATAGGTTTTTTTTTTTTGTTGTGTTTAGAAAGCATCCCGTAATAGTAATATATTCTGTGTCACGGGGGACTTCACAAACATACATGAAACGGATACAAAGAACAACTCAGAACAACAATTTGTGGATCACACAAAGTTTTGTCCCATGTGGGAATCGAACCCACAACTCTCGGTAGAAAGCGGTGTCCGCTTAAACCACTACGTCATCCCTGCAGTCTAATTAATACTAAAAGATTATTTTTTAAACATCAAGACTTACGAGAATATATGAGTAAGCATATTTGAACTACTAGGAAATCGTTAAAGATTAAAAAACAACTACAGCAAATCTCGTCTTTGGTATCGATCTTGCCGCCGTCATCTATTTTATAATCAGAGCCAGTAATAAATATTTCACAGCTTGAACAAATTCTGAATTCTGCAAAACCTTCTAGTTGCCAAATAAGTTTTTGTAGACTTGGTTTTCGGATCTTTTTCCCCTAACTATTTAGGTATACAAGGAGCGATACATGTATATTTGAACTCGTCTAACATCACAGCGAGATAAATCTCTTCTAGCTGACTGATCTACGGCTGCTGATCTGTGATTTGTTACCTGTAGTGCTCGCACTTTTACTATATATTTTTTTAATTCTAACCCTATAAGGTCAGTTAGCGACACTTACACTATAACATATAGATCACATTGATGTAAATTGAACTATTTTGTAAAATTTGCTATTTTAAAAGAAATAATTTATTCTAAAAAGATTATACAGCTACTGTTTTAACACGGTTTTTTAGTTTCTCATATAACTAGCTATAAAAACAAGTTATAGTGGTCATCTTAGAAATGATGTGATAGTGGAGATAGGAGGTATATTGTAGAGCTGTTCAATTGCTGCTGGTGAACTGCTCAAGTTCGGTGGAGCCCTACAGTTCGTTCCTTGTAACGACGGTCTGATAATGGAGTTACAATCGTGCCTTTTATAGCTTTTTAAATGTAAGATCCATAAATTTATTACTTACAAAAAAAAAGGAAATCTACTCCTACATCTGAAGACTATTTCATACCTATAAATTTTTTACAATTCAACGAATATACTCTGGACCTGTACCTAATCTTTTTGGTCTCTTGTTCACTTGCTCATTCCTCTAGTAGCGATTTTATACTTAAAGTTACCTGTCAAATTAACTAAACCTATCATAAGCTGCGAAAAGCTGCTACACTGTAAAACGCTTTCGCCGGTGAGCGCTAATCAGCGCAGCGGCACGTGAGAGGTTAATCGTGTAGGTATACTCCATTTTAATACAGTTCAATTTAAAGAAGCAGTAGATAAAGGTACATTTGTTACATTGTCACAGGTACGTAAGTTTTGTTTATTAAATTAATCAGAATAACGGGTGATTACATTAATAACAATGTAAGGCGGTTACCAAGTGCACTGGCATTGTATTGATAAATATTTCGCAGGTGAATTTGAGAACACAATATTACAGTGTTATTGAATTAGCTTATAAAAAATTGTGTCTCCAAATTTGTTTCGTAATCGACTTTGGAAAAAAAATTGTAAATTTTTTTCTTAAAAGAGCTTATTCAGCCATTTCCAAGGGCTGGTTTGCTGTCACGATCCCATGTATGACTTTTTTTATAGTAAATTGGGCAAACGAGCAGACTGGTCACCTGACGGTGACTATCGCCGACCACGGACACCTAAAACTCAAGAGTCACAAATCTTCCCCCCCCCCCTCTCCCCCTTCCCCGGTAGTAGGTTCAAGAGCGAGTTGGGGCTGCAATAACCTGACTCACTCCTTGAAAAACAAAGAAAGAAATGCTTAACACCAGTCTTCTGTGAGTCCGTGGTGTCACTCTGGTGGAACCGGCCCATTTGTGCCGAAACATGGCTCTCCCACGCGGTGTCATAGACATGGATATCATTGCTATTTTGAAACCATATTCATTTGATGAAATAATAGGTTTTAGTCACAGCGATTTACCTTTTTTTTTAGATTTAGACTTTGCACTTGCACTTACGTAATAATAATAAATAAGATGCAGGGATTTGGTAAATCAGTCACAGGTGTGATGATATGAATTATATATCATATGATTTATCACATTTGTTTGTGATTTTATTCCATACCAACCGTGTCATATCATGGTTGTCGACTGGACAAGGTTATTTTTACTAACAGCTTGTATTGGCAGATCTCTAAAACTTGTATGATATAAAACATTATCTGTTTACTGCTACTTTGATTTTGTGGCTTTTGAACTTACCATGCCGTAAACAAACAGTATAAAAATATGTTGCATTGATTGTGAGACGTGTTTACTAGCATATACCTTGATAATAGCGGTAATAATACAGTATTTATTGCCATTACTACAGATGACAGTCTTAATATCTTTGTTTGTGTGTCTTTATTCGTGAAGCTCAAAACAACTAACAATATGTTTGCAGAAAATTTATTAGAGATCGGAGAGCACTGCCTCGTTGGTGCAGTGGTAGCGTATACGGCTACTGTACTGTGGTCTCGGATTCGATTCCCTGATCGGACCAAATGTTTGTATGATCTGCAAGTATTTGTTTCGGAGTTTTGGTGTTTTCTATGTATAATATGTATGTATTTACAAAGAAAAGAATAAAGTTATCTGTCAGTCAATCTGGCTTTCATAGTACAAGCTCTGCCTAATTTGAAACTAGATGGCGTTGTATGAACTACTCACAAAAGTTAAAGGAACAGTCTTAGTTTTGGATGGGCTGTTACTAAGTGAAAAATGATCGTATCTAAATAAAGATTTTTAAAGCTACATGATTCTAGTTTTTAGGTATTTTGGCTAAAATGTGTTTAAATTCCATAGGACCATTTTTTCTTGATAAAAACTAACTCATAATCTAGAAAAACTCAGTTTCTGTTTTTGTTAAATGTGCGTAATACAAAATATAGAACTACCTACAAGTTGTCTTACAATTTTAGGTATAAACCTCTTTTCTAAGGAGATGCACATGTCCAGCAGTGAACTGGTAAAGATTACACAGTATGTATTTTAAACACATTAAAAACGACCAGCCTTTAAAAATAAATAAATAATTTTTTAAGCATTTTTACCCGTCTTACACTTATTATGGTAACATTCTCTTTCTTTTTATTTGTTTACTTGTACTCTTAGAGGACTAGAATAAGATTTGCAGCGGTCATATTACGATGTTATTTGAAGAAATAAACGGCCTTAAACTGAGATAATCCTCGAAATATATTTTTTATCAAAGCTTATTGTAGCGTTTAATATAACCCATCAATTTTGCCTTGCTACAATTACCGTGGTCCCGCGAGCGGCTTATCTGACGTGAAAAATTTCACCCTTCGTTTATTTAAAGCTATCAACCTCGAAAATTTTAACAAAATCTTTTAATCCTATGAGGCGCGAAGCGTTTATACCGAAAATAAGTAAATATGCAAATTCAAATGTTAGATGTTTTTATTTTTAAATTTGTATCACTTTTTTATAAGTCTACGAGTACCTGTAGCTTTTTAAAGTATCAAGTTGATATTAACATGAATTATATACTAT